TAATGGCCTCAGTTAAAGAATATTATGCGGTTGCATATTCTAATAATGGTGTTTGAAAGTTAAACATGAAGGAATAAAATGTGTGAATTTGTGCTTAAAATATGTGGCCTTATCTACCCTGCCAGGGTACCCTATGCTCTTAAAGAAGAAACAGTGAAGACCTGAAATTATTTTTTAATTGAAATCTTTGACAATTGTCATTAGCAAATAAAATAAGGTATGATAAGGCAATAGGTCTTACAATGTGCTAACTTTAAACTTTAGAGTCCTAAAGCAAGATACAGGTGAGGAATTTGTAAGGAAAAGATGGCATAAGGTGAAACCAAAGAGCAGTCTTCAAATGTAAAGAACACAGAACCTAATGTTCCAGAATGCTTTTAAGTAACATCTTTTAAAAATTATTTTAAGAAAAGTTATCTGCATAATTTAATTTTATGAGGAACAATTACCAATAACAAATAAGATCCTGAATAATACCACACCACGAGATATTTCTTTGGGATTCTGTCTAGCTTTTTGCTTGTAATAGCTTTCTTATTTAACAGGATTGGCTTGCAGAGAGCTTTACCCCCAAAATCATTTTTGCTAACATACTGACTTCACCCATGCCAAAGAATTTGAAAACAGAATGATGAGTGGCTTGTCATCTGGTTTATATTTGCAATAATAGTTGCATGACCCTTTCCTAACTTTACCCAACAATTTCCTTAACCTGTCTCAGCCTCCTTTTCCTCATTTGAAAGTTGGAGACAATATTATGACTGCCTAGTATATGCTAGAGTTTTTTTTTTAACTTGTCCTTTATAGCCTTACTTAGGAAAATGTGTGTTTGAGCAACATTTTTAATTTAAAGGCAATACAAAGAAGAAAAATTCCAGTGGCTCATGCCTCTTACCCTGGCTACACAGAGGCTGAAATCTGAAGTTCACCATTCAAAACCACTCTGGAGAAGAAAATACATTCATCTCCAGTTACCACCAAAAAGCCAGAAGTGGAGCTCTGGCTCAAGTAGTGGAGCAAAAAAGGCTCAAGGACTATGTCCAGGCCCTGACTTTAAGCCCTCTCAAACTCTTACTGAAATTACAAGGCCTATAAAAAAAATTCTTAGCAGTATGAGAAAGACAAAGAGATACTGCTAGAAAGATGGGGATAAATTTATGACAAACCACTACAGAATTAAGGAACTTTTCAACTCCATGAAGACAAAAGGTAGATTGGGAAAACTGGTATCAGAAGAATCCCATAAAGAGACAGAATCCCATTAGCAGGCAGAAGTAGAACAGCCTCCAGTGATTTCTGCCTCCTACTATGCCCTTGTGTGTGGGCTAGACCTAGTGACTTACACAAATAACATAACATTGAGGTTTATTTGTCAGTTTGTCCCTGGATGGGCATTTCATGAGCTTATACTGTTCCTTATGAACACATCAGTCTTTCTGAAATGGAGGGTGTTACTAAAGGTTACAAGAACACTCACTACTTGTAGGATAAGTACTTTAAAAAAAAAAAAGACTACTGCCTAGATTATCCTCCTGATTATCAACCTATTAAAGATTGACGTACCAACCTTATTATCTCCAGAATTCCTAAATCGAAATAACTGTAAAGTCTATTTTTGATGGCATATGGTAACTATACAGAATTGATATGCTAAAATGTTTTCCTAACCAGTAGTAGTGGTGGCATGTATAAATATTATTAAGAGAACTATGCCACAGCCAGGTATATAAGGAAGACAGCAGGTGGAAATTTAGGACAAAAATACCTAATTTCTCCAACCCTAAAGCCAACTAGCAGCCAATGAAACCAGGAGGATAAATGAAAAAGGTGGATGTATGGATAAAGCAAGAGATGGGAGCTGGGACAAATACAGAACCTATATTTATACACATGTATAAGTTTATACAGTATAGATAATAAAATGAAGCAAAGTATAGCAAAACAAATATGGGTGTTTCTGAAGTTCCTAAGCTAAGACTGTAGCTGCTGCGTTGGAAAGGGTGGGTTTTTTGTTGTTTTTTAATTTTACTTTTGGAGAAGATTCTCCCCACTCCACCCTACCCTACTTCCTACCACTCTTGTGGTTGTCAGCACAGTGACAAGCAGACTGAAGCAATTTATTTGGTTGAAGCAAAGGGACCAGGTATTATTGGGTCAGAAAGAGAGAAAATCCATAGGGAAGCTGATCACCAGTGGCTCATAGCCACTCAAAGAACAGACCTGAGGATCAAGGTTCAAAGCCAGCCAAGACAGACAAATGCAAGATACTCTTATCTCCAATTAACCAGCAAAAAAGGCAGAAGTAAAGGTGTGACTTAAGTGATACAAAAAAGTCAAGCCAGAGAATGAGGCCCTGAGTTCAAGCCCCAGTACTGGGACAAAAAGACAAAAAAAAAAAACAAAAACCCTACAGACATTCATATTCTGCCTTAGTGCAACACCTACTTGGTAGCAAGTGAGCATTCTGTGTGCAAAGCACCCTGAGGTTTGCTTTTGCTCTGAGAATGGTTGCTGCTCTATCACACTTTGCATGTGGTCTATGACAAGCAAGGACTTTCCGTTGTTGCTTGTAGTGGAGGTTAAAGGTGCAACCTAAGACCCAAAGGGAGGATTTTTCCTTCTTGTCTGATCATTGGTATCTGAGTGATGGAAAGTATGACTGTCCTGTTCAACAACTCAACAGCATTCATCAGTCTTGGAGCCGAAGGGCAGCCTGTGGAAGATAATACACCTATTTGCTATTCCAGTAGGTGGCAACCTCACCTCTCTATCCGCCCACCTTCATGTTAACAGCCAGGACTACATTCTACCAATTTATCCAGAAATTAAACAGCTGAAATTCTTGTCTTTTGTTAGTGGTGTCTAGATATTCTCTATAGAAAGTTAATTTCAAAGGCTGGATTCTGCCTAAAGTGAGATAAAATGTTCAGCCCAATATCAAATATTTTCAAAACTCACTAAAATATATCTTAATCTAAAGAGCACCTGAACATGATTCCCAAGGTTATATTTTACCTGCTTCAAACTAATAATTTTGCTGATTATGGAAAATTGTTCAATGGCTAAGTTTTCCCATCTATAAAATAGGATTGATGATTAGGTTGATATGGGTTAAATGTTGAATATATTATCTTGTAAACAAGAGTTAGTGTTTCCCCTCTATACGGTATTTTCACAATTAAAACAAGAGTTAGTGTTACATTTGCAAGTATTTCATGTTTGTTTTATATGGTTATTGATGTCATATCCCATTTGCTTTTAAGATTTTTTTTTGAGGAAAGAAATCGTGTCTCCTTGGTACGACTGAGCGGATCCCAGGATCTATCTTCTCTGTTCTCCCAGACATCCTTCCCAGAACGCTGGAGTCAACAGGGAGACTTGGAACAGGTCTTTGATTTCTACCTAATCCCATCAAAAAAATCCTTTATCTTCCCACTTAGACTCCTATTGCCTTAATTCTGGTGGGTCTCATTTCCCACAATGATAAAAGATTTACTCTCTATCCCAGCCTAGGTTTTAATCATATTTAAAGCTTGGGAATCATTTTTGGAACAAGTTGACTGCTTCATTCAGATGTAGGGGAGAAAAATGGGGAGACACAACTGATTCACAGCTCAGTGGCAGTATCAGAGCCCTAGGATATGCATGTGTGCATACTAGACATTAATGTTCCAGCCACTGGAAGGACCCTTACCACATGTACTTGTATTAAGCTTGGGGGTAATGAGAAGAGAGTCAAAACCATACAGAAAGTCAGATTGTATGGGAAAGCATACATCTACCCTGTGTTAGGCATATAAGAATGCTGCCTCATTCAATTCACACCAGATTATAATCTACATCTACAGTCCCTCAGCATTTCTCCCAGGTGGCAGCTCAGTAACCAAAGGTTTGAAAATGAATTTCTGGTTTTCATTGAAAAATAAGACATCAGGTAACAACAAGTTGACAGTGACCAGGTACTGTTCTACCAGATGCAGCACAAGCATACTTTAGTGGCCCCAGGTCCCTCAGCCTTCCCAATGAGTAATCTCCACCCCTTCTGTTTCCAATCCACCCCCTTAGGGGCAACTATATCCTCCCCCTAGGTAGATTATCTTTCTTCTCTCTTACTGATGAATAATTTAAGCTGGGGGAAATGAAGTATTTTCCCCATGATTTGGCTCTCTGATTGGAAAGTGAAGCGACTAGAATTGGAAGGCTGACCCCTTTCATTTATATAGAACGTTAACATTCCAGATGTATGTTCTTGATGAGACTACATCAGAAGAAAGAGCCCTGTATTTATGAGAGGAGACTTAGATACAAGTTCAGCTGTACACTGCTGGATGGATCTAGCCTTGGGCATGTCACTTCATATCACTCCTTTGATCTGAGAGCTGAAGAGCCGTCTGTAGATTGGAAATGACCAAGCTGCTTCACCAGAGATAATTTGAAGACCATGTTGCCCTTGACACACCACAAGCTCTACAACTGTAAGAGACTGCTCGTGTTAGGCCAACACAGTGACAAACTTGACAAATTTGGACAACTACGCGTGAAGATCTGGGCAGAGGTGACTTTGAGCTAAAGGGTTGGACATACGAAAGGATTGTCGACTAAGCTTAGTTCTCTGATTAAAGAGTAAGACGCGTACAGTTCCAATGCGCGGATGGAAATCAGAGATAACTTCCATTTGCAGCTAGTAATGGTTCTAGAAAGGGTAGACAGTTCTAATGGCTTGAGTAGCTCTCAGCTTCAAGCCAGGCATCATACTTGCTGGGCACTGGCCCCTCTACCTCCACCGGTGGCCACCCCGGCCCTTATGAGGCCCCATCCTTGCCCCTGGCCCCGCCCCTCCTCAGGTTCTGGCCCCGCCCCTCTTCCGACCCTGGACCCGCCCATTCTCGCGGGCGCCAATCTGCGCGGCCTCCTGGGACTGAGAGCCCCGCCCCTTTCTTAGTCCTGGCCACGCCCATCCTCGCGGGCACTGAGAGCCCCGCCCCTGCCTGGCAGCTGGCGGCTCCCGGCCGCTGCTTCTGCTGCTGCGCTTCCCGGCGGAGACCCCGCGCACGAGAGTCCCACGAGAGTCCCGGCAGGTGGCCGCCCCGACGCCCCACGGCTGAAGGCTGGGTGAGAAGCCTGACGCGCGACTTTAAAACCGAAAGCCGGCGGCGGTGTGGGTTGCGAGGCTGGGGGTCCCGGGCCTGGCCTTCCCGCTCGGAGGCGGCCGGCTGGCCCGAGGCCCAGGGCCCGGGAGGCGGTGGGGCGGGTGGCCCGGGGCGGGGGGCGGGGGGGGCGTGGGGACGGAGAGGTGGCGGGACGGAGGCCCGGGGCGGTCCCCAGCCAGGGACCTGGTTCAGCGTGGTGAGGGCCTGTCAGAGCCAGGCTGAGGGTGGGGCTCGCGGGGTGGGGAGTGGACTTCCAGGGGGGCCCGGGGCCCGCTTAGGCTCCTCTCCACCTCTACCAGACTTTCCGAGTGAGTTGTCACCGGCCCCTCTGCGCGTGCATGTTTAAAGATGCGGCACCCCCTCCCCAGAAGGTGGGTGCTGGGGGGAGGGGAGCCAACCAAGGCTCCTAGAGGTGAAGCGAGTTGCCCTAGGAGCACGCAGACAGTCGTGAGGGATCTCCACGCCCCTCGAGGTTCGGGACGGTTCTGAGAATCTTTAGTGAACCATGGGGTTGGGGGTGTGGTAGGGGAGAAGGGGAGGGTGCCAAGTTCTGGCTGCTGGTCGCCCTGGGACACTGGTCGGCTTTCTTTCTCAGCTAGTTCTCCCTCGTGCAGTTTCCATATTTGGCGCTTTCACATGTACTTTTGTGAGAACTCGGTCTATCTCGATGAGGTCAGGCAGGGCTGCCAGAGGCGGCTGTGGTGGTGCGTAGAGAGGCTGGTGGAACAGGAGGGGAGACTCACAGCCAGGGCTGCTCCCTTGCAGCTCCATCCTCCACAGCCCTGGGCCCTGACCCACGTTCTTGGAGAAAGGCATCAAGGAGCTAGCTTCACTTCAATCATTACTTACTGGGCTTAGGTGCTCTGTGAAACTGATCTGGGTCAATGAGTGTGGTTCTTTTCTTCAGAGATGTATGTACTTTAAAGGGGTGCAAAGAAATTAGTCGAAGCACTTCTGGCAAAAGAAGAGTACTGTGTGTGAGAGAGAGCTAATTTTAGACAGCATGAGGCTGGGTGAAGACTTTTCAGATCCTGAAACAGCTGTTTGCTCTGCTCATACACACACACACACACACACACACACACACACACACACACACACACACACACACACACACACA